CACCTCAAACCTGCACCTTACACCCGCACTCGCTTGGACCCTCGTCTGGTAAATCCTCTCGTCCTTCCCACCCACCCTCCGCTGACCCCCTCCTCCTTCAGGTGGCGAAGCAGGCATCGGACATGGCCCTTGCGGATGACAATTTCAGCACCATCGTGGCTGCTTTCACACGCGGATGGTCCGACCTGCCTACCCTCTTCCTACGCCCACTTCCCATTCCCCTGCAGGTGGCAAAGCAGGCATCGGACATGGTCCTGGCGGACGACAACTTTTAGCACCATCGTGGCTGCAGTGGCGCCATTCCCCACCCCGCCATACCCTATCCTCAGGTGGCAAAGGGCATCGGACATGGTGCTGACAGATGACAATTTCAGCACCATCGTGGCACCACTCACTTGAACCCTGGTCTTCAGTCCTCTCGTTCTACCTACCTCCCTCTGACCCCCTCCTCCCATTCACCTGCAGGTGGCGAAGGAGGCATCAGATATGGTGCTGGCAGATGACAATTTCAGCACCATTGTGGCTGCAGTGGCGGAGGGGCGGTCCATCTACAACAACATGAAGGCATTCATCCGGTGAGTGGATAGATGCAGTGAGACCAGGTATTCAATCGTTCTAGTCATGTGCCTCATTTCCAGGAGTGGCGGAGGGGCGATTGATCTGCAACAACATCAAGGCATTTATTTGGTGAGGGCGAATGCAATTTCTGAGGCGGGTGGATGCAGCAACGCAAGGGCATGTATATGTGAATTGTCCACGACTCACATCCATCCATCCATCCATCCATCCATCCATCCATCCATCTACATCAACGTGAAGGTCTTTATGCAGTGAGGACGTTCATCTGGTGGAGTCATCTGTGTGAATTGCTGTGCACATTTAGCCTCATCATACTGCCTCAATTCTTCCATGTAGGTGATGGCTGTGTCTCCCAACGCACTGCCCCTTATCTTCTCAGCTGCATGATATCAGCTGAACAACACGGGTGCTCATCTTCCTCACTGCCACCCTTCGCCTGCCAGAGAACCGCATCCCCGTGCAGCTGCTGTGGCTCGGCACACACCATCTCATGCGCACTCTTCCCTGTTGCGTTCCCCTCCCTCTGTTGTCACAGGTACATGATATCGAGCAACATGGGCGAGGTGGCATCCATCTTCCTGACAGCCGCCCTGGGCCTACCCGAGAACCTCATCCCGGTGCAGCTGCTGTGGGTCAATCTGGTCACGGACGGGCCTCCTGCAACAGCGCTGGGTTTCAACCCCCCCGATGAGAATGTGATGAGGCAGCAGCCCCGGAGGAGTGACGATGCTCTGGTCACAGCGTGGGTGCTGCTGCGATACGTGGTGAGTGCATGGGAGGGAAAAGGGGAGGCAAGGTGGGGGGATATCTAAGATGACTCACAAATCTCGAGCCACAGCGCTGGATTTCAACCCCCCCGATGAGAACGTGATGAGGCAACAGCCCCGGAGGAGTGAGGATGTGCTGGTCACTGCCTGGGTGCTGCTGCGATACGTGGTGAGTAGGTGGAAGGGAAGGGAGGTTTTTGAGTGCTGAGACTCAGAAATCGCCCGCCACAGAGCTGGGCTTTAATCCTCCTGATGAGAAAGTGATGCGGCAGCAGCCTCGGAGGAGCGACGATGCGCTCGTCACCGCATGGGTGCTGCTGTGATATGTGGTGAGTGCATGGAGAGAGCAGGTTCGGGTGTGGGAACGAAAAAGATAGCCGAGTGCCGAGACTTAGAAATTGCCGGCCACTACTCTGGGCTTCAAACTCTCACTCTGCCCTCCACGTTACCCCTCGCTACCTATGGCCTCCCCCTCCCACTCCCATGCAGATAATCGGCATGTACGTGGGCATAGCAACAGTGGGCGTATTCGCCATCTGAATACCCACCCCTCCTTCCTCGGCATCGACTTCTTGTACTCTCTTTCACTCCCCACTCCATCTCCCCCCCTTGTCACCCCTTCACCTACAGATCATAGGCATGTACGTGGGAATCACAACAGTAGGGGTATTCGCCATCTGGTACACGCACTCCTCCTTCCTCGGCATCGACCTCTCAAACCTCTCACTCTGCCCTCTACCTTACCCCTCTTTTCCCCCTTGCCCTCCAGATCATCGGCATGTACGTGGGCATAGCGACAGTAGGGGTATTCGCCATCTGGTACACGCACTCCTCCTTTCTCGGCATCGACCTCTCCCAGGATGGCCACTCCCTCGTCTCTTTAAACCAGCTGCGCCACTGGGACCAGTGCCGCTCCTGGCAAGACTTCTCCGCCTCGCCCTTCACTGCCGGCGCACAGACCTTCTATTTTAATCACGACCCATGTGACTATTTCGAGTCGGGGAAGGTGAAGGCGACGACGCTGTCGCTGTCGGTGCTGGTGGCGATTGAGATGTTTAACTCGCTGAATGCGCTGTCAGAGGATGTGAGTCTGACGAGGATGCCTCCGTGGGTGAATCCCTGGCTGCTCGTGGCGATGACTCTCTCCTTCTCGCTGCACTTTCTCATCCTCTATGTGCCGTTCCTCGCTAACGTGTTTGGGATCGTGCCGCTGAGCTTCAACGAGTGGCTGCTCGTGCTCGTGACGTCGCTCCCGGTCATCTTGATAGACGAGGTGCTTAAGAAGATTGGAAGGGAGATGCACAAGGCGCCGGCTCGAAGGAAAGTCAAGGAGGAATAGAGCTGCAAAGAGTTGAAGGCCGAGGCGTCTTCTACGACTTTGTTGACCTGTGTGATAGGTCTGATGCTGTGTATGTTCGGCGTCATGAATTCAAGAATAAGCGCCCAGCATTTGAATATGCTAAATTAGATACAAATAACGCTGAAGTCGTCGTTTCCATTACTGGCATGTTCGAGCATGCAAGTAAGAAATCCATCCAGGTGTGCCAGAAACTGTATAAGAATATTCAGTAACGTATCTGGGCCAACAACCAGGATAAGAGTGTCCCCTTCACGATTTTCTGTTATTGGTTGCGGTACAGCTCGGTTGGCTGCAAAGTCATTATGGCTTTGCTTGCCTATGTAAATGATCAAATTCACGACACGCATACGGTACTCACGGAGTTCACCGCAACTTTTGCAGCTTCACAGGAACACACCGACACGAGCGTGCCTTCACGGGTCCTCGAGATGCCCGAAGGCCCTCCAGTTCCAGAACATCCCGCAACGGCAGCTGCCAGGCAGCAAGTACCAATTTCCCCATAGCTTCTGGGTGCCGTGTCCACCTATAATTTCACTCTCCACACCTAAATCTGAGCTCTGCAGCATTTAGTCGCCAGACGGACGAAGAATTAGGATGGTAGTTTTCGACCTAGAGCACATGGGGGTGACCCCTTGACTTTCTTGATATAGCATGCGACGGCAAGGATCGTATTAGGGCGTCTGAACTCCAGTTTGCCACAACACTCGTCGCTAGCCGCTTACCGCTTTAAGGAGCAATAATTGTAGATTCTTTTCTAACTCTGGGCCTGAATGGATAACGTCGTCGGGAACGTGACGTCATGGTTTCGCAGGTAACCCTTTCCGGTTTCCGCTAGGATCATCGTCCATCTTTAGGTCGCTGTCCTAGTCACGGAAATATCCGACCAAATTCTCTGCGTCTCGCTTCTTGGAGCGTCACGCGTTGTCCGTCTGAACCCTCCCCTATCACCTGGTCGGCTCCAGCAAGAGGTTCCGCTGCCGTTTCCTCCGCTGCTGGTTCCTCCGCTGACAGCTCTTCCCCTCCGTTTCTTGCGCTGTCGCGTCTTATGCTGTGTACCGCTACTAGTCTCACCCTTACCTAACGCCTAGCCTTATCTTTTCTCGTTTCACTGGGGCATGCGCTCGCCTTACTTGCACGCACACGCTCTCGTCTCATCTCCGCTGCCTTTGCCACCACCACGTCTAGCCGCTGTTGCTGCTGCTGCTGCCGATTCCTCTGTTTCAAGTAGCACGTTTATTGGACGGATGTGTTGAAGTTATCCCTTCGTAGTACAGTTATGCGTTTCCTATGCATATGAAACGCATAGGAGGTGGTATATGCTTCCTTGTCTGAGCCTGTCGCTTCTCACGCCTGGTCCATGCAGGGCTGTAGCCGGCGGTTCAGACGAGCCTAATCGCAGCAGCAGCTCGACGCAGTCTCTGCACCAAGTGGTACGCTTCAATGTGTCTAACCAATTTCTTACAACGTTGAGAGATAAGGTGCTGAACATTAGTATGATGGTGATGAACGTTTAGTAATGAGACGATGAACTTACCTGTCATACCACCCCACATCTCCTTACTGTCCATCGCCTCCCCTTCTTTTCATCTCTTCATCCCCATATCTGTCGCAGCCCCCAGCCTTGGCGAGTCACCACCCAGCGATGCAGCAGCAGCAGAGGGAGCAGCAGTTGAGGGAGGAGGAGCAGCGGCAGCTGGAAGAGGCACTCAGGCTCTCCTTGCAGGTGTGTAACACAGATCCCATCTCACATGCCCCACTCATTCACCCTGCGTTTTTCTGCTACTCACGCGTGTTATCGACTTATCAATCCTCTCCAATCTCCCGCTCTGCCCTATCCGTCTCGCTTCCCCCTCAACGCAACCTTGGCCTGGTTTACCAGGAGCAGCAGCACGTGCCGAGCCATCAGCCATGGGTGCCGAGCCAACAGCATCAAGTTCCGAACCACCAGCATCAAGTCCCGAGCCAACAGCAGCATCAAGTGCCAAACCACCACCAACAGGCTCCGAGACACCAGCAGCAGGGGGGCTGGCCTCCAGGAAGGAGCAGTCAACCAGAGCAGCAGGGTGCAGGATGGGGCGGGAACACAGGGAGAGGGGAGGCAGTGGGGAGGGGGGAGGCGGTTCAGAGGGGTGGGGAGGCGGAGGAGGAGGACAGGGCCCTTCAACTAGCGTTGGAGATTTCGAGACGAGAGGCAGAGGAGGCAGCTCAAGGTAAGTGTATGTGCGTCCATCCGTGTGTGTCAACCCGTGTGCTGGTTTGTGTGTCGACCTGTCTCTGGCACTGGCTGGCTACGCATGTCACAGACGGATTGCCCGCATGTGCTGATCCCTTCCCTCCCTCCGTCTCTTGCCATGCTTTCCCAGCCATTAGAGGAGGCCAGGGTGCTGGCAGGACACCTGCAACAGTTGCTGCAGCTGCAGCTGCGGCGGCAGCGCAACGAGAAGCCATGAATCGTCACTGGTCAGCCACAGCAGCAGCAAGAGTAGGAACTGGAGCAGGAGCAGGAGGAGCAGCAGCTGGTGCGGGCCGTTCTCGGCATGTGGGCATGGGTGGAGCGGGTCAGGGCAGCGCAGGGCCAGGCGGAGTGGGGCGAGGTGGGGGTGGGGGTGGTGAGGGGGCGCCAGACACGAGCAACGATGAGGAGATTGCGCGGTTGCTGCAGCAGGAGCTGAGTCTCGAAGAGGTGAGGCTGGGGGAGGTGAGGCTGGAGGAGGCGAGGGAAACGAGGGTTGTGAAATTGGAAGGAGATGAATTGTGAAGACCACGATGTGAGGAGGATGAGAGGTCCAACGGGAGAAGTGATGACCCCTTGGCCCCACACTTACCTGCTCCACCTTATCTGCCCACGGCCCTTTCCCTCCCCTCACCCATCCCTCCCGGTTTCCCCAGGGCGGGCTCTCGCATTTGCCTGCAGCACCTCCTGTTGGCAGCAACAACAGCAGCAGCAGCAGCGGTGGGGTGGGAAGCGCGGGAGCAGGGAGGGCAGCGGGTGGAGGGCAGCAGCACCCTGTGTGGTCGGCGCTGGTGCCGGCTGTGTGTGCGGGGTGCAATGGGCCCTTGGGCTTCTCCCCGGCCCTCTCGTCCATGGGGGGGTTGTGGCACCCGCACTGCTTCACATGCCACGCGTGCAAGCAGACCATCTCAGAGAAACAAGTATGTCGCAAAAGGTTTTAGCCGTGTGTGTTGTGGGGGAGATGAGGTGTAGATGCATTCTGCCTTGGCTGGTACACACATGCCTCTCCACGGCAGCACGCCATGGCATCATGCCATCATGTCGTCATCGCCCCCTCCCTTGTGTTAATTCCTCCTCCCTTCTTCTCGCTATCCACCCCCAAGGCAAGCCCTACCATGCAGCATGCCTTCATGCCATCACACCATCACACCTTGTGTCGTCTCTCCTTGCTCTTCTCTCCCCCCTCCACCAGTTCAACATCAAGGACGGCAAGCCATACCATGCAGCATGCCACCGACAGCTCTTCCACCCCAAGTGCACCGTCTGCCAGGACTTCGTGAGTAGATGCTCCCACCCCTTGCTTCCCGGTTACGAAGCACGTCAAGGGAGCAGCCAATTTAGAGCCACCTTGCAATGCGTGCTTCCATTCCGCCTATCAGAATCCACACAAAAGCCCTCTTTATTCTCAGCTCTCGATATCATATATATCCCATCCTTCCCCTCCCCCCAACCTCTTCCCCTCCTTCTCTCTTTCAACCCGCCCCTCCAGATCCGCCCCAACCCAGCAGGCATGATCAACTTCCGCTCGCACCCCTTCTGGGGCGACAAGTGGTGCCCCGCCCACATGACAGACAGCACGCCCTCCTGCACCTCCTGCTCCCGCCTGCAGGTGAGGGCAATGCGTTGAGGCTGATATAGCATGGGTTGCTCTCAGCTGTGCTGCATGCGTGTGAGTGTGTGTGAGAGAGGGTGACAAGAGCTGAAACTGGTTGCATCGACCCGGCCAAATGACTGACAGCACGCCCTCCTGCACCTCCTGCTGCCGCTTGCAGGTGAGGGTGTGGTGCTGAGACTGCGCAGTTGCTGCTTCTGTTCTGCCTGCCCCAGCGCCACCCCTCCCCTGTTCCACCTGCCCTTGTATGTTCTCCTACATCACTTCACACCCCTAACTTCACGCTCTTTGCACCCCTCAGTTGTGTCTTGAGAGGTTTTGAAGCCTGCTCCAGTGCACTACCTCGTCTTTACCCTCCTCCTCGTCCTACCTCCCTGCTGCTCCCCTTGGCTTGCAGTCCTGCACTTTCCCCCCCTTCATAGGCCTGCCAGACAGGCAGTGTTTGAGTCAACTCAGAATTGCATTCCCTCTTCCCTTCTCCTCGTCCTGCTTCCCTGCTGCTTACCTTGGCTTGGCTTGCAGTCCCGCGGTTCCCCCCCATTTATTGATCTGCCAGATGGGCGGCACCTCTGCCTTGACTGCGTTGACTCCGCCGTGCTAGACTCCGCAGACTGCCGCCCGCTTTTTTCGTCCGTTAGTGCCTTCTTTGCTCAGCTGGGGATGCCAGTGCGGCAGCAGATTCCGGTGCTGGCAGTGGAGCAGCAGGCGCTGAACGATGCTCAGAGGGCGGAGAGGGAGGTGCGTGGGTGTGATGGTAAATCCGGCGTGTGACGCACAGGTGAATATATGCTTTCTAGCACATCAGGGGATGCCAGTGAGGCAGCAGAATCCGGTGCTGGCAGTGGAGCAGCAGGTGCTGTACGATGCTCAGAGGGCTTTAAGGGAGGTGAGCGGGTGAGAGGGAGGTGAAGAGGGAGGTGAGGGGGACGGCTGATGGTACATCGGGCTTGAAAATGCACAGCTGGGAACATGGGCTCTGACACAACAGGGGATGCCAGTGAGACAGCACATCCGGTGATGGCAGTGGAGCAGCCGGCGCTGAATGAGGCTCAGAGGGCGGAAAGGGAGGTGAGTGGGTGTGATGGTCTATCGATCTGGAGGTGCCCCCGACTGCACAGGGTGGTCGATCCGATTCGAGTTGCTTGGATCTGTGGCACAACAGGAAATGACAGTGAAGCAGCAGATACCACTAGCGCCGCCACCTCAGGCCCACGAGCTGCTTTCACACTAGCATTCTTACCGCATTCACGTCATCTCCCGCTCCTGTCCATGCCTCCCCATCCGTTCTCTCTGCCCATCACCACCCTCTTGACAGGGCCATGAGCACGGGTCTCTCACGCGGGGCCTCTGCCTGTCAGAGGAGCAGACCATTCAGATGGTGAGTCGCCTCATCGCCTCTCTCTAACCCCTCGTTCCATCACCTGTGGTGTAGGCGATCTTGAGACATAGCCTACAGGCACCATAGGTTCCTCCTTTCCCACCCTTCAACCAGCCCTCCTACAATGCAACCGCATCCACTCCGCAACTGCACAGCACCGCTCTATGCACTCCTCCCTCTCTTGCGTTCTCGTCCCTTCCCCTCTGTTCATTCTCCTTTGTTCCCCACCCACCCCCTTTCTGTGGAACCAGGTAGTTTTTGCCCTCCTGTTTTGCCGTTGCCTGTCATTGACACATCTCAAAACTCCTCTTCTGCTGATTCCCCTGCCCCATCCTGCTGAAATCAGGTGGTGCGTTTGCCCGGCTCACTCACCCACGCCTCCTCCTTCTCGGCAGTGGGGCAGCAGACCATGACAGTGTCCCGCCACTGCGCGGTCACCGCTATCCTCGTGCTCTATGGGTTGCCCAGGTAGGCATGGCATGGGTGTGCTCCATGGGCTCACGGGCTACACGGGTGGGCAGCAATAGTGGGCATGTGTGTACGCCTGATGCGCATGGTACGCCTGGTGTGCATGGCAAGCCTGGTGCGCATGGCATGCCTGGTGCGCATGGCATGCCTGGTGCGCATGGCATGCCTGGTGCGCATGGCATGCCTGGTGTAGCTGTGCTGTGGTGGATGGCACTTGTCTGTCTGTGGCCCAGCAGACCATGATGGTGCCTCACCATTGCGCTGTCACTGCCATCCTCGTGCTCGATGGGCTGCCCAGGTGTGAATGGCATGGCAGGGCATAGCATGGCATGGCCACCATAGTGGCACCATCATCCTCGTGCTCGGTGGGCCGCCCAATTGTGATTGGCATGCCCGCAACAGAATACACAATGCCAGTTTCTCTCTGTCTGCATCTGCCCCTCCACTTGACCCTCAAAAGCACCCCTCTGCCTGCTTCTTCTCTCCACCTGCCTTCATCCGCCCCTCTGCCCCTCCCACTCCCCATCAGAGTACTGACCGCGTCCATCCTAGCGCACGAGCTCATGCACGCATGGTTCAAGCTCGACGGTACGTATGCCCCCTCCACTGCGCATGCCATCCCCCATCGCGCATGCCATCCCCCATCGCGCATGCCATCCCCCATCGCGCATGCCATCCCCCATCGCGCATGCCATCCCCCATCGCGCATGCCATCCCCCATCGCGCATGCCATCCCCCATCGCGTATGCCATCCCCCATCGCGCATGCCATCCCCCATCGCGCATGCCATCCCCCATCGCGCCATCCGTATGCCCACCATGACTCAAGTGGCATGTAACAGACTTCTTCTGTCGTTCTCTGATGCCATGCGTCGGTCAGCTTGCTCCCCTCTTCCCCCTCCATCACACCGCACAGCACCCCATCATTCCCACCTCCCCTGCCTTTTCACCTGGGGGATGCTTTCCACGTCCCCACTGAGCTAGCTTCAGAACACATGTCTTTGTCCCCCACCTCCCCTGCCTTTCCACGCCTGCATAGTGCTTCCGCCATCCCCCCCTTGAGCTAAAGGAGGGCGTGTGCCAGGCCGTGGCATACCGTTGACTCCTGAGTCGCCTCTAAAGCCATTGTTCCTGTTTCTCCTCTCTCCCCTATCTTTCCACACCTGCAGGGGGTTTCCGCCATTTGCCCCCAGAGCTAGAGGAGGGCATGTGCCAGGTCATGGCGTATTTATGGCTGCAAACCCAGGCCCCTCCAGCCCCACACGCCCCATCACAAGCCCCATCACAACAAGCCTCCTCCGCTGCTCCACTAGCTCACGAGGCGCACAGCAGCTTCCAGCAGCGCTTTGCAGCGTTCTGCCTGCACTCCATTGCTACTGATGCCTCCCCCGTGTACGGCGATGGGTTTCGTGCTGCCCATGCTGCTGTGCTGAAACATGGACTGCTGCCTACTCTCGAGCACATTCGCGCATGCAGAGCACTGCCTAGAGTGTAGGTCAAGTGGATATCCTCGAGAGGATATCCTTGTAGTGGATATCCTCGAGCAGATATCCTCGAGCGGATATCTTTGCGGGGATATCCTCGCGCGGATATCCTCTCGCGAATGTCCTCGAGCGGATATCTTTACAGCGAATATCCTCGAGCAGATATCCTTGAGCATATATCAATGCGGGGATATACTCGCGCGGATATTCTCTCGCAGATATCCTCGAGGGGATATTCTCGAGCTCTCCTCGAGCGGATATCATTGCACTGATATCCTTGCTGCGGATATCCTTGTAGAAATATCCTCGCGCGAATATCCTCTCGTGGATATCCTCACGCAGATATCCTCGCGTGAATATCCTTGCGCTGATATCTTCGCGCGGATAACCTCGAGCGGGTGCCTTAAAAAAAAATCGATATCCCCAGTTCTCTGTTCTCTGTTCCAACATAAATAGCTTCAGTGTAAAGAGATAATCACCATCATAAAAACAATAGTACGTATACACAATCGCATGCAAGCCCTACACTTGGTCTGGACTCTAGAGTTTACGCAGTGCTCTGTGTGTGCGATTGTGCTCAATGGCAGGAAGCAGCCCGTTTTTTAGCACAGCGGCGTGGGCGGCACGGAACCCAACGCCGTACACGGGGGAGGCATCAGTGGCAATGGAGTGCAGGCAGAGCAGCCCTGTGCCTTCATCCTCTGCCGAGCAGTCAACCTATCTGGGCAGTGTTCTGTTTGCGCGAATGTGCTCGATACGGTAGTAGGCAGCAGCCCGTGCTTGAGCACAGCAGCATGGGCGGCACAAACAATATCAAGCACAAACACATGCAAGCCCTCCACTTGACCTCCACTCTAGGCAGTGCTCTGCATGCGCGAATGTGCTCGAGAGTAGGCAGCAGTCCATGTTTCAGCACAGCAGCATGGGCAGCACGAAACCCATCGCCGTACACGGGGAAGGCATCAGTAGCAATGGAGTGCAGGCAGAACGCTGCAAAGCGCTGCTGGAAGCTGCTGTGCGCCTCGTGAGCTAGTGGAGCAGCGGAGGAGGCTTGTTGTGATGGGGCTTGTGATGGGGCGTGTGGGGCTGGAGGGGCCTGGGTTTGCAGCCATAAATACGCCATGACCTGGCACATGCCCTCCTCTAGCTCTGGGGGCAAATGGCGGAAACCCCCTGCAGGTGTGGAAAGATAGGGGAGAGAGGAGAAACAGGAACAATGGCTTTAGAGGCGACTCAGGAGTCAACGGTATGCCACGGCCTGGCACACGCCCTCCTTTAGCTCAAGGGGGGGATGGCGGAAGCACTATGCAGGCGTGGAAAGGCAGGGGAGGTGGGGGACAAAGACATGTGTTCTGAAGCTAGCTCAGTGGGGACGTGGAAAGCATCCCCCAGGTGAAAAGGCAGGGGAGGTGGGAATGATGGGGTGCTGTGCGGTGTGATGGAGGGGGAAGAGGGGAGCAAGCTGACCGACGCATGGCATCAGAGAACGACAGAAGAAGTCTGTTACATGCCACTTGAGTCATGGTGGGCATACGGATGGCGCGATGGGGGATGGCATGCGCGATGGGGGATGGCATGCGCGATGGGGGATGGCATACGCGATGGGGGATGGCATGCGCGATGGGGGATGGCATGCGCGATGGGGGATGGCATGCGCGATGGGGGATGACATGCGTGTCAGAACATTATAGTTCATGCATATTGTGTAGGCTATAGTGGGGTACTCCATAAGGGGTACAACCCAATTAGGGTTAGTACTTGTACCCAATTCATTCATAGTTAATTCATTCCTCGTTTCTTCTCATGGTATCGAGCAGGTTCCCTAATGGGAACGATTCCTAGGGCCCACCATTACGAATTTTTTTTTTTCCCCTGCCCGGAGCGCGTTTTGCGCCGGCCCGAGTCGCGCTGCCCTTTCGGCCCGTCGCGCCCGTCGCGCCCATCGCCACCTACCTCCGCGGCCCCGCCACCTACCTCCGCGTCCCCGCCACCTACCTGTGCGGCCCCGCCACCTACCTGTGTGGCCCCGCCACCTACCTTCGCGGCCCCGCCACCTCACTGTGCGGCCCCGCCACCTACCTCCGCGGCCCCGCCACCTACCTATGCGGCTCCGCCACCTACCTTCGCGGCCCCGCCACCTCACTGTGCGGCCCCGCCACCTCCCTCCGCGGCCCCGCCACCTACCTGTGCGGCCCCGCCACCTACCTTCGCGGCCCCGCCACCTCACTGTGCGGCCCCGCCACCTACCTCCGCGGCCCCGCCACCTACCTGTGCGGCCCCGCCACCTACCTTCGCGGCCCCGCCATCTACCTTCGCGGCCCCGCCACCTACCTCCGCGGCCCCGCCACTTACCTTTGCGGCCCCGCCGCCTCCTCCCAGCGGCCCCGGACGCCGCCCTCTCAGCGGCCCCGCCGAGCCGCCCAGCAGCCAAGCCGCCCAGCCGCCGAGCCGCCCAGTAGCCGAGCCGCCCAGCAGCCGAGCCGCCCAGCAGCCGAGCCGCCGAGCCGCCCAGCCGCCGAGCCGCCCTGTCCGCAGCCGAGCCGCCCAGCAGCCGAGCCGCCCCGCCGCCGAGCCGCCCAGCCGCCGAGCCGCCGAGCCGCCGAGCCGCCCTGCAGCCGAGCCGCCCGAACCGCCCTGTCCGGTAAGAGCAACGCCTCTCTCACAGCACTGCCCTCGCCCTACTGTTTGCACTGCTAGTCTACTGCTGTCATGGCTACCCCTAGTGTCCTCGCTTTTGACGCTGAGGGTCGGGCCATTGACTTTGACGTCTGGATAGATGACCTGCAGCTTTTCTTACAGTGCGACAGAGCAGACGGCCTCTCCCTCTTTGACCTCACTTCTGGTGCCTCTCCTGCCCCCGCTGCTGATGCTGACGCCACCGTTCGCTCACAGTGGGCCACGCGCGATGCTGCTGCACGTCTTGCTGTGCGTCGCCACCTCTCTACCTCTGAGCGTGCGCACTTTAGCCAGTACAAGAGTGCTCAGACCTTGTACGACGCTGTAGTTGCACGCTACTCCTCCCCTGCCACTGCTGCACTGAGCCGCCTCATGCTACCGTACCTCTTCCCTGACCTTGCTGCCTTTCCCACAGTCGCTGACCTCATTACGCACCTCCGCTCTAGTGACACTCGCTACCGCGCTGCGCTTCCTGCTGAGTTCTGCGCCAAGAACCCCCCCCCCATGTACATCACCCTCTACTACATAGTCACCCGTCTCCCTGACTCCCTTCGCGTAGTCAGGGACCACTTCCTCTCGGTTTGTCCCACCACTCTCACCGTTGACCTCCTCGAGAAGGCCCTCCTAGCAGCAGAAAAGAGCATCGTCGCTGTAGGAGCCTCTCGTGGTGACCCTCGCACCCCCATCTTTGAGGGGTGTTCCCCCTCCCCTCTTTTGCCCTCTGTTGCCTCTGCTGCTGCGGCCGACCTCGCTGGTTTGGAGTCGGTTGGGGCAGCGTCTACCCCTAGCGGGAGACGCCGCCCTGGCAGGGGCAAGGGGGGCAGGGGCGCTGGAGGAGCTAGCGGGGGCGGTGGAGGCGGCGGTGGAGGTAGTGGAGGAGGTGGGGGTGGCGGTGGGAGTGGTGGCGGGGGTGGAGGTGTAGGTGGCGGCAGTGGAGGCGCAGGAGGCAGCGGCGGTGGCGGAGGGAGCGGAGGTGGCGGCGGTGGAGGAGGAGGCGGCGGAGGAGGTGGAGCTGGTCGGGGTGGCGCTGCGCAGAGGGTCAGCTCCGGTGGTGGTCAGCGCCAGCAGCAGCAGCAGCAGCAGCAGCAGCAGCAGCAGCAGCAGCGCACTCGTGACGTCCCCTCCCCTCAGCAGCTCCGTGAGTGGTACACTGCACGCCAGAGGGGTGGGGGTGCTGGTCCGTGCACCTACGTCCTGCGCACCGGCGACCGCGCGGGTGAGCAGTGCGGGGGTGCGCACTCCACCCAGCGCTGCTTTGGCCGCCTGACGGACGCTTGGCGTCACCAGTTCCCTGAGGCCACTGAGATCCCCCGCTGGGGTGAGCTGTCTAGGGCGGGTGTAGCTGTCTTTGACCTTGACTTTGATGCTATTCTTGCTGCCGTGTATACTGTGACTATTAGTGATGAGGGTGACTGTTACCGGTGTTTTCCGCCCGACCCGGGCATTGAGACTGCTGCTCTAGGTACTGGTGAGGCTGCTGCTCTAGGTGCTAGCGAGGCTGCTGCTCTAGGTGCGTCTGCTCCCTCAGGTGCTGGTGAGTCTGCTCTCTCAGGTTCTGCGTCGGCTTCGGCCTCCCACACCTTCACCCTTGACTCGGGGGCTTCTCGCTCCTTCTTTCGAGACCGCACCACACTCACGCCGCTTGGCCGGCCAGTTGCGGTCTCCCTGGCAGACCCCTCTGGGGGTCCTGTCCTTGCTCACTTCTCCACTGTCCTCCCGTGTCCGGCGGCCCCCTCTGGCACCCTGTCTGGTCTCTACCTCCCCTCGTTCTCTACGAACTTGGTGAGTGGTGCTGACCTACAGGATGCGGGGGTTCACCAGTTCACTCCTGCGAGTCAGCGGGTGACCCACTGCACGGACGCTCGGACAGGCCGCCACCTGGCCACGTTTACACGTCGGCCAGGGTCGAGCCTGTACACACTGACCACTGCGTCTCCTCCAGTCCCTGCGTCTGGTCAGGTAGCTGCGTCGGGTCAGGTGTTTGCTGCAGCGTCCAGGTCTGGTCCTGAGTCTGCCCCCTGCTCGTGTCGCCTCCTGTCTCACGAGACTCTCCTCTGGCACCACCGCCTTGGTCACCCCTCCCTGCTTCGTCTCCGGAGCATGGCCTCCCGTGTCCTTGTCTCTGGTCTTCCCCGGTCCCTCCCTCCCCTTCCTCCGGGGCCTGGCCCTACCTGCGTCCCCTGCGTCGAGGGACGGCAGCGGGCTACCCCTCACTCCTCCCAGTTTCCTCCGATAGAGGCCCCGCTGCAGACGCTTCACATGGACGTGTGGGGCCCGGCCCGCGTCCGTGGACAGGGTCACGAGCGCTACTTCCTGCTGGTGGTTGACGACTACT